TACTGTTCCATTTATTCCATTGCAGCCATTACAATGAGCCCGTCCTCCTATAGTTCCTCCCACCAGCCTCCACTGGTTGAACGCTCGTGGCCAAAAGATGGTGGGCCATATTCAATGCCCTACATTAGACAAATCATGGTCAAAGCCGGCAAACATGAAGATCAAGCAGTGACTGTTTGGACAAAATGTTTCCGTCTAATGGCGATCCTGCATACTGGTACTTGCGTCAAGTTTATAATTGCGGGGCTGCACATTTGCGTACTTTTGCCAAGCAACATCATTTTCCTTAGCTACTTGTAGTTCTTGCATTGCATAAGTATGGAAATTAGGCTTTGAAAGATTTGAAGGCCAACCGATAGGATTATGTCTAGAGTAAAATATACAAAAGTGAATTTGGTGAAGTAGCCTAGTGTAGGCCTAGGGAGTATTCTGTGAAAAGAGAGCTCTGTTCTATCAAAGTGGCTAAATGTGACATGAGTTAGGCAGGGGGACTCTATATTCAGGTCATCTGATGGAGGATGTCCTCAGACTACACACACACACACACACACACACAGGGCTCTTTTGTAGGGCTCGGTCATCGCTGGGTTGAGGAGTCTCGTGCCCGACGTTTGTCTTAGTTCTGCTCGACAAGTGTCCACACAAAGACTGGTCTCATACACTGAGTATACAAAACATTAAGAACACTTGCTCTTTCCATGACATAGACTTACCAGGTGAATCCAGGTGAAAGCTATGATCCATTATTGATGTCACTATACTACTTTAATCAGTGTATATGAAGGGGAGAAGACAGGTTAAAGAAAGTTTTTTAAGCCTTGAGACAATCGAGACATGGATTGTGTATGTGTGCCATTCAGAGGGTAAATGGGCAAGACAAAATATTTAAGTGCCTTTGATTGGGGTATGGCAGTAGGTGCCAGGCGCACCGGTTTGTGTCAAGAACTGCAATGCTGCTGGGTTTTTCACGCTCAACAGTTTCCTGTGTGTATCAAGAATGGTCCACTACCCAAAGGACATCCAGCCAACTTGACACAACCGTGGGAAGCATTGGAGTCAACATGGGCCAGCATCCCTGTGGAACGCTTTCGACACCTTGTAGAGTCCATGTCCCGACGAATTGAGACTGTTCCGAGGGCAAAAAGGGATTTAACTCAATATTGGGAAGGTGTTCCTAATGTTTGGTATACTCAGTGTAGAGTAGACGTAACAGCACACTTACATCCGGGACACTCAAATTAGTATGATATGTTACGTTTGGTATGGTTACATAAGATAGAAGGTTACTTAATAACCTTTTTACTGCAGTGGGCTAAATCAGGGCCACACAGAGTGACACACACTTTGAAACAAAAGTATACACCTCACACATATGGTTATGGGCTTAAGAAAAAGAAGACACCTGTACCATGTCAGATATAGAGTTGAAATGTATTTAATTTTGAGTTTGCATCCCAATATTACACTTTATATACATCACAGAAGACTGAAATATAACAAAACTGCTTGACATAGAAACACTGGATTTTCGTTGTAAAAATTAAATACAATCTTAATTCATTAATGATGAAATTATGAAAAATATGAATAACAGTCCGCCCATGAGGCCAAAGAGGGCGCTTTTGGTCATTGACTGCAGGAAAGGGGTACGGCCAAGACCAGGTTGCCACACACTGCACATGAGACTCATTATCATTATGGTAATCCAGTGAATGCAGGGGTGGGGGTCACACACATTAGTACATGAGCGGAAGGGTCACAAAGACAGAGTACAGATAATGGACTGAAGTGACCCAAATCCCTATGCTATTGTGTGTGTGTGTGTGTGTGTGTGTGTGTGTGTGTGCATTTGTCTATATGCTTTCGAGGTCAAACAACACAGAGGGGTAAATCTGATCTTATGTTCCACATAACTTGAATTGACACACATATCACATTGATAGCAGTGTGTGATTTCCACGAAAGATCAGAGTAACACGTGTGCAGATCTCATGTTAGGCTTGTGCTCCAGTGTTAACCTAGCTGTGAAAAGGGGATTGCGTGGAGAGGTTGACAGACGGGTTGACTGCTATGCTCTCCACGGGCAGCATAAGAGGATTTTCCGTCCTCGAGTCTGAGCAACTGTCACAAACACCCAGTCACCTGTTCCTGATCCCATTCAGACACCGGGTCTAGAGGCTGAGAAAGGGGGGATAGGGAGATACCTCTTTCTCAGTGGTACCTATTTCTTTCACTTTCTCAGCCTCTTTCTCTGACATTGTTTAAAAAAAAATAATAATACGAAAAGAGAGGCCGCCCCCAAGTGGTAAGGGTAGGTAACAACATATCTGCCACACTGATCCTCAACACGGGGGCCCCTCAGGGGTGCGTGCTCAGTCCTCTCCTGTACTCCCTGTTCACCCATGACTGCATGGCCAGGCACGACTCCAACACCATCATTAAGTTTGCCGACGACACAACAGTGGTAGGCCTGATCACCGACAACGATGAGACAGCCTATAGGGAGGAGGTCAGAGACCTGGCCGTGTGGTGCCAGGACAACAACCTCTCCCTCAACGTGACCAAGACAAAGGAGATGATTGTGGACTACAGGAAAAAAAAGAGGACTGAGCACGCCCCCATTCTCATCGACGGGGCTGTAGTGGAACAGGTTGAGAGCTTCAAGTTCCTTGGTGTCCGCATCACCAACGAACTATCATGGTCCAAACACACCAAGACAGTCGTGAAGAGGGCACGACAAAGCCTATTCCCCCTCAGGAGACTGAAAAGATTTGGCATGGGTCCTCAGATCCTCAAAAAATTATACAGCTGCACCATCGAGAGCATCCTGACTGGTTGCATCACCGCCTGGTATGGCAACTGCTTGGCCTCCGATCGCAAGGCACTACAAAGGGTAGTGCGTACGGCCCAGTACATCACTGGGGCCAAGCTTCCTGCCATCCAGGACCTCTATACCAGGCGGTGTCAGAGGAAGGCCCTCAAAATTGTCAAAGACTCCAGCCACCCTAGTCATAGACTGTTCTCTCTGCTACCGCACGGCAAGCGGTACCGGAGTGCCAAGTCTAGGTCCAAAAGACTTCTCAACAGCTTCTACCCCCAAGCCATAAGACTCCTGAACAGCTAATCATGGCTACCCGGACTATTTGCACTGCCCCCCCACCCCATCCTTTTACGCTGCTGCTACTCTGTTAATTATTTATGCATAGTCACTTTAACTCTGCCCACATGTACATATTACTTCAACTACCTCAACTAGCCGGTGCCCCCGCACATTGACTCTGCACCGGTACCCCCCTGTATATATAGCCTCCCTACTGTTATTTTATTTTACTTCTGCTCTTTTTTTCTCAACACTTTTTTTGTTGTTGTTTTATTTTTACTTTTTAGTTAAAAAATAAATGCACTGTTGGTTAAGGGCTGTAAGTAAGCATTTCACTGTAATGTCTGCACCTGTTGTATTCGGCACATGTGGCCAATAAAATTTGATTTGATTTGATTTGATTTCTCTGGCATTGTTAAAAATGAAAATGAAAAGAAGAGCACATTTTAGAGATGTTTTCCCCATAGCAACTTTCAGTCCACATATAGGCCCACATGTATTCACTGTGTGTGGCCCATGCCGGAATTGAACCCACAACTTTGGTTGTTGCTATAGCTAGCTCCATGCTCCAGTCAAATGAGCCTTATGTGCCTTTAACATTCTATTATGTAAGCTTGTAAAACACTGTCAGGAAGATGTTAAGAGTACAGGCCTCAAACTGTCCTATATAAAGGTATATCCATACACACATTGTTTTTGGGAGCAGAATGTTTTGTACTGTGCATATACTATAGATTGTACTGAACATTTGAGGTATATTTCAGGGGTTGTGTAAGAAGCTGTCACCCTTGTGTTAGCTATACTCTCTCCTGTGGTGCAGTGTGAGCACTGTGTACGTCCCTGATCCTGTCTGTGTACAAGGCAAGACAGGCATCCTCCTCAAGGCCATACCTTGGTACTATTTCAAGCAGTTTGTGGAATTCTTGTATATTATTGTGGGTTTGTCCCACGGCCACACACACTCACACACACACACACACACACACACACACACACACACACACACACACACACACACACACATTGGCGACAGTGCTAGTCCTTTTGAAGTGTGTTTAAGTGCCCTCTCTCCTTCCTGCATGTATCTCCTGCCCACTTTATTCTAATTCTCCAATCCTCTTTGTGAAAGTGACGTGTGCCACTGACAGAAAGCAGGGTTAAGCTGTACGCAGGGAGAGATTCATAGAGCACTCTACTGGACAAAAACACATTGAGTATCCCATTCTGCTTCTCCTCTATCCCTGCAGGCATTCTCTTTCTTTCTTTCTATCCATCTCTCCCTCCCTCTATTAGTCTGGGCCTTTTCTCTTTCTCTGCGTATCACTCCTCCCATTCCCACCACAATCTCCCTTCAGGTCAGTGGGTATTAGTTCTCTCACAGGGGCAAGGGGAACGTTGGGACGGCAACGACTCCACGACGACAAGCCTCTTTAGCATCATTTCCACGACAACGCCCTCTCGGCAGGAGCATTACCACGGCGACACCCTCTCCTGACACGCCTAGCGGACGCTGTGGGTTGGTTAGCAGGTGCACCCTGCGCAGAGACGGGGAGGGAGGGAGGAACATAACTATCTTCTTTCTGTCTCTCTCTCTCTCTCGCTCTCATATCTCTCTTTCTTTGTATCTGAGTATTTTTGTATCTGAGCTGGGATTCGACAACAAAGTTGACGGTCAAGTCAACACTGGAGCTATGAGACTAAGATAAGAATGTGCTGAACCAGAGAACCTGTTGTGTCTCTCACAAGTAGCTCTGTTTACAAACTCAGGTTCTCAGCTCGCTTGACTCATCTGGTTGGTTGGCTGAGAGCGTTCAAATTCTTTCTATTCTGTGGGAATCGTTTTGAGCTGGTTGGCCGGTCCGGGGACACCCAGTTACAACGTGACTTGAGTCCACTTGAGGGACGTCACCGACAGAAGGGTCAGAGGGCGACGGTGAGGTCAACGACCAGAGTGAGAGACTGGAGCAAGAAACGTTGGCAATTGGACCCAACATGGAGGGGTACGGCTACGAACACTTTGGGGTGGACGCAGAGCGGGACAGCCACCAGATGGACTACCGGAGGATCGTAGGGGACACTGAGCTACCCCGGCCCAGCTCCAACCCCAACTCCTCACCCCAAGACGGGGATCACCTCTTCCGCCTCAGCCCCCATGGGCATGGGCACGGACACGGGCATGGGCATGAGACAGCCGCCCAGCGATACAGCGCCACCCGCATCCAGGCTGGCTTTGGCCCCGAGAGGTGAGTCAGACAAAGACAGATTATATATGGTTACTAGAGTATTATTTAGTGAAATAAACTGCCATCCATTAGAAAAGAACAACATAAGAGTGAAGGGCCAGGCAAAGTAGATTTTTAACTGTGGACCTGACTTGTGCTGAAATAAACTAAAGAAAAAAAGGGAGTAAACCAGATTACATTTACATTTACGTCATTTAGCAGACGCTCTTATCCAGAGCGACTTGCAGTTAGTGAGTGCATACATTATATATATTTTTTATACCCCCCGTGGGAATCGAACCCACAATCCTGCTCTACCAACTGAGCTACATCCCTGCCGGCCATTCCCTCCCCTACCCTGGACGACGCTGGGCCAATTGTGCGCCGCCCCATGGGTCACCCGGTCGCGGCCGGCTACGACAGAGCCTGGATTCGAACCAGGATCTCTAGTGGCACAGCTAGCACTGGCACACACAAATATATTCAATTTGTTTGGAGTGGACAAGATAACATTCTTCAACACAAAGCAATACACTGAGTGTACAAAACATTAGGAACACCTTCCTAATATTGAGTTGCACCCCCTTTTGCCCTCAGAACAGCCTCAATTCGTCGGGGCATGGACTCTACAAGGTGTCGAAAGCGTCCCACAGGGATGCTGGCCTACGTTGACTCCAATGCTTCCCACAATTCTGTCAAGTTGGCTGGATGTCCTTTGGGTGGTGGACCATTCTTTATACACACAGGAAACAGTTGAGTTTAAAAACCCAGCAGCGTTGCAGTTCTTGAGACACTCAAACCGGTGGCCTCGCACCTACTACCATACCCCGTTCAAAGGTGCTTAAATATTTTGTCTTGCCCATTCACCCTCTGAATTGCACTCATACATAATCAATGTCTCAATTGTCTCAAGGCTTGAAAATCCATCTTTAACCTGTCTCCTCCCCTTCATCTACACTGATTGAAGCAAATGAAATAGGTGACATCAATAAGGGATCATAGCTTTCACCTGGTCAGTCTATGTCATGGTAAGAGCATATGTTCCGAATGTTTTGTATACTGTGTATATTTGACTTGTGGGGCATACAAGCTTTAGCATTAGTTCCTCCCACTTCTTTTGACTACTTTTCATAACTCTGCTTTCACCATGGTTAAACTATGTAAATACAGCCTATTGACTAGTATCAGTTTACACTGCCACATAGCCCTGTGTTTAGTCTGGCTTGCAAATAACAATGAAGTTAAATCTCCTTGTTAGCCCATAATGAAGCTCTAGGATGCCTGTGTCTTACTGTATATGGAAACATGGTTTATGGCGAGCCATTCCGAGGGCGGCCCCTAAACAAATTGAAAAGCTATGATTCAGTGGCTTACTCTGATGCCAAAACAACAGAAACTGCCTCTTGAGTCCTCAAGGCTATTTTCTGAGTGGCAGGTCCCACTTATGCCGTGCAGCTAGGGCAGCAGGTGGAGACCTTAAGGGGATCGGGTTTGAATCAATGCTTGAAATAGCCACTGGCTGGGTATAGAGGAATCTCTGACCCATATTGTGGATGACCCACATTTAACGCGATGAACTCACACACAGACACCGTATCCCGCCAGATCACCTTGGTACTTGTCAAGGCTGGGAAGGTCCTCTGTGCTTTCCTTAGTACTGCAGGAGGAGCTCCTAGAATAGTGCCACATGGAGAATAGGCCAGGGGCCTATAGCTTGGGCCAGACTGAGCCCATATACAGTCCCATGATAAGTGTACATGGGGCGAATACAAATTCTGTCTTAATGCAGGGTGGATCACTAGTCACCATTACAAATGCATTCGGTTTTATTTGCTCTGAATATCTGTGTGTTGGTTTAGTGCACACAGTTACAACAGTCTCATGCCATTGCATGCACAGGATCAGGAGTGCATGGGTTAGAATTCCCCACTCTCCAGGAAACGTAAAGATGCTGTGAGAATGAAGAACAAAGCTTGCTTTATTGCGACATTGCTGGCGTGATGGCAGGTTGCAATTGTCTGTCAGGGACTACTGTCAGCCACTGATGGTGTTGACGGCTTGGTGACAAGAGCTGTGTGCTGTCCGTCCTCCTTTTACAAAAGTGTGTGTTTGTGAGGGAGTTCCACTTCATCTGTGTGTGTGCGTGTGTGCAAGAGAGAGAGAGAAGGTAGACTAGGAGTCTGAGTGTTTATTGAGTGTGTGTGTGTGTGTTTATGTTACTAATTTTGGCTAATGGAGGAAGCCCATTATCCCTTCCATCTTATCATAAACACTGGACTTTTCTCTTCAAAGCCTAGAAGTTTCAATCTGAGCTTTACAACGCTCCTCTTTGGCATGACTTTGCCCTTTAGCAAGATGGCATCTAGTGTTATAGTGGAGAACGCTCCATTTCCCAACCCACAACCATCACAGAAATGGGCGAGTGGAACTGTTCGGTACGCAATGCTTGTAGATTCACAGGTCAACATACAATACAATAGGCCAGGCCTACAGTGAATTCAGTCTGATTTTCCCAAATCTGTCAGCTTGAACGCCAATGGTCTATTGGCTTTTCTGCTTTTATTATCTGACAGTTTTAAACAGTCTGTTCTATATGTGAAAGTGAAAGTCTGAGACCATGATACATAAGATAAGAGGGAGGGTATGAGGTTCAATTATGGTCAATGTGTAGCCTCACCTACTATAAATGTTTAAAACATTATCTATGCTACTTAAGGAGGTATGTAGCCTGGCTGGCTCTACTGATCAGTTGAGATCAATCTAGACTAGAGAATGCCACTGTTACTAATTTAGTAACTAGTTGCATGTGACTTATAAATCTGACAGTAGTGCTGTTCAATTTAATGCCCCCAAACTTTGCACCTCACTGAACCATCTGAGAATAGTTGATGTGTGAGTTTTGGAAAAATACAAAAGTCACATTAGATTGATAAGTAGATAAGCATTATAAAAGTAGATTACTACACATTTGAATGATTACGATTCTTGCTTGATCCTGATAATAGAAGCCCAAGGACTAATATTCCAAAAACAGATGGTAGGAGGCTTGGGCCTGCTGCCTATGTGGTTATTTGTGGGTTATAAAATGATAATATACGGACATTGGGACTGTCAGACTATAGTGCAGATTTCCCTGAATAGCCTAAATGCATGATTTTCTCCTCTAAAATATGTATGGTCTGCACTCTGCAGTGCAGATATTAGGTATATTACATAAATTACACGGACATAACAATCTCACAAACCTGCAAAATCTGTAATTGAGTTGAGGATTTTACCCTCATGTTTTCGAATTCAACGAGGGCCCCACGTGGGAGGAGAGGGGATGTGACGCATCCATTTTCGATGCTTTTGAAAAAATATTTTTCTTCATACCGCGGATACACTGTAGCAGCGACAGGCTATCAAATTTGGACCAGCCTCGCATCATCACTTGAGTTTGTAGTAGGGAACTAATTCATTTGGGGTGGTTCCCTCCACGATAGAGAAAGCACACTTTGCTTCCGCTCATTTTGGACTTGCTAGCTAGCTACAGCTGGAAAGTTCACATTTCCGAACATCTTCAACGTGGTCAGATTCAAGAGGTAGAAAACGGGTTGGAATAGATTTTTGGTTTCACATTTTCTTAACGTAACTAATATTAGGGAACTGTAAATACGACTAAGAGCGTGGTGAGGTGGCTAATGGCATATAATACAGATCATCTTCAGTAATGAGTTGAAACATGTTAGCTAGCCGGCTACCGTTAGCTGACACATGCTCCTGCTGAATAGCGCACGCACTCTGATCATTTTGACCTGCGTTGGCAAGGAATTAGATGGCTAATATATAGTGCAGCTATTATGACAAAATACATTGCAAACGATATCATGCTAAAGACAAATGATATGATGGATGGAAAACTATAAATACTTAGGCTGATTACAGTTGGCTAGATTCGTCATGAATAGTTAATATAGGCAGGTTTTATTCTCCCCGCATGTGTTGTGTGCTCGAGGCATTGTTAGGTGCTCAACCGTACAGTAGCCTGTTAGTAAGAGCTAGCTACGGTATTGGCAGGCATTACCCACCGCTGCCTTTCAGCAGCTATCCAGAACACTGTGTAGGTAGTCTGGATAAATATGTGCTCGAAGGAAATGTTTTTGCTTAACGTGTCATTGATTAACATGACATTACTTTTTAGCTCATAGTGTCGCTTGATGGGTGTTTTGTTTGCATGGACAGCCACCACAAGCAATAGAGAGAACGTTAGTGTGCTCACTTTTCCTGGTGTTTATCAAATCTTAGGTCACCCAGACAGTAAATTGTTTTAAAAAATAATATATATATATATATATATATATATATATATATAAATCAAACACCGACATTTTTTTCAAGCAACGTGTTTTATTTAAACATGTAGCTAACGTTAGTGCTGCTGCTATTTTTGGCATGGATATTTACACAACAGTACATGAAAGGGTTAATTTCGTAAGGCTATATTTTGCCAGCATTCCCCCTCTAATAGAAAACATTCTTATAAATGTTAGTGGGTCATCCACATTTTGAAATCACATAGTCATTAGTACTCAGCGATTTGTGCTTTTGAGGTCGGTTCGGTTTCAGTTTTATTATAATTGTGTTTGTTTTCGATTTCGGGTTCGATAGTAAAAAAAATTATAAATGCATTCTGTGGGTTGAATGCTGTGTCACAGAATAACACGTTTAATACAATTCCCATGATGGTAGTGACTGCCGATTACTGCTTATCACTTATTAACCATAATTTATTCACATTACTTTAGTTACTTAAGTTTTGTATATTACATTTGTTTTATTTGATGACTTTATTATTTAATTCTAAGTCATCATCTCTATAGAGCTGCTGTCTGACAAAATCACTATTTTAGTAGTTCTTCAATGTAAACAAGGCATACTTTTATGACTGCTGAATACCAACTATCAATCAGTTAGATCATGTATTTTCAGTTAGAGATACACTATATATACAAAAGTATTAGTGGATTCAGATATTTCAGCCACACCCGTTGTTGACAGGTGTATAAAATCGAGCACACAGCCATGATAATCCATAGACAAACATTGGCAGTAGAATGGCCTTAATGAAGAGCTCAGTGACTTTCAACGTGGCACCTTCATAGGATGCCACCTTTCCAACAAGTCAGTTCGTCAAGTTTCTGCCCTGCTAAAGCTGCCCCGGTCAACTGTAAGTGCTGTTATTGTGAAGTGGAAACGTCTAGGAACAACAACGGCTCAGCCGTGAAATGGTAGGCCACACAAGCTCACAGAACGGGACTGCTGAAGTGCATAGCGAATAAAAATTGTCTGTCCTCGATACAACACACCCTACCGAGTTCCAAACTGCCTCTGGAAGCAATGTCAGCACAAGAACTGTTCGTCAGGGAGATTCATGAAATGGGTTTCCATGGCCGAGCAGCCGCACACAAGCCTAAGATCACCATGCGCAATGCTAAGTGTCGGCTGGAGTGGTGTAAAGCTTGCCGCCATTGGACTCTGGAGCAGTGGAAACATGTTTTCTGGAGTGATGAATCATGCTTCACCATCTGGCAGTCCGACTGACGAATCTGGATTTGGCAGATGCCAGGAGAAGGCTACCTGCCCGAATGCATAGTGCCAACTGTAAAGTTTGGTGGAGGAGGAATAATGGTCTGGGGCTGTTTGTCATGAGTGGAGGCTGTTATAGCAGCAAAGGGGGGGGGTGGGGGGGGCAACATCCATAACTTAACTGCTCCCATGCTGTTTGATTTGTAGAGGTAAAAAAGATGGTTGATGCAGAAATGGTTGGTCCCCGTAAACTATTTGGCCATGTGGGATGTACTTACTACAAGTCAAACGTCGCTACTCGCTTCAATCGCCTGTTTACATTGTCTATTTAGCAGACGCTCTTATCCAGAGCGACTTACAGTTAGTGAGTGCATACATTATTATTATATATATTTTTTTTCATACTGGCCCCCTGTGGGAATTGAACCCACAACCCTGGCGTTGCAAACGCCATGCTCTACCAACTGAGCTACATCCCTGCCGGCCATTCCCTCCCCTACCCTGGACGACGCTGGGCCAATTCTGCGCCGCCTCATGGGTCTCCCGGTCGCGGCCGGCTACAACAGAGCCTGGATGAACGTAGTGCCTCGTTTAATACAGTCCCGTGTAGTTGGTAGAGCATGGCGCTTGCAACGCCAGGGTTGCGGGTTCGATTCCCACGGGGGGCCAGTATGTAAAATGTATGCACTCACTAACTGTAAGTCGCTCTGGATAGGAGCGTCTGCTAAATGACTAAAATGTAAATGTGAAATGTTTAACAAACGAAAAATAACTGACGTTTGGGTTAATTACTCAGCACTAATAGTCATTCACAGGCTCAAAGCGTCGTCACCCTTTAACCTTTAATCTGTTTATGGCTAATTATATTTGAAAATGCATCGAATGTTACACTTTATGAAGCGATGGCTACAATCTAATGCCAGCTTGTCATCCTTTTCATTTGACAGCATGGCTGATTACCTGATCAGTGGTGGTACTGGCTACGTCCCAGAAGATGGACTCTCCGCACAACAGCTTTTCTCCGTCGGAGACGGTCTCACTTACAAGTAAGTTCAGTTCAACCACAATACAAATGCCAAATAGAACCGTGTTGTTCAAGTAAGCTCTCGAACTGTCCAAAACTAAGCGCAAGCGATGATGGACGAGATACGGGCGGCTCATTGTAATGACGGCCAACACGTTTTGAATCGCAGATCTGCTCAACAACAGTCTGTTGTCGCCGACGGTCAAACGGCAGAAGAGCTATGCTCTAAAGGCGACGGGTTGACTTACAAGTGAGTAAAACGGTTGACTTTTCAACCATTTTGACACTATATATACTATACTGTAAAATCCTCTTGTCTCTCCAAATGATGAGTTCATATAGGGGAAGCAAATGGTTGTCCCATAAAAATAACTTGTTGATGAATTTGGCCAAAGTAAACAACCACAGTCGCCACCAATTGTATTATTTAATTGAGTTTTTAGCTGGCTGAGAAAAACACTGATCTATATGGATGAATGAGTAGGACAGGGGTGGTGGGGGTTGATTGCTTAACCTGATCTGCACCATAGGATGATATTTGCTTCCGGTAATGATATGACTGCATCTTTAACTGCTCCGAAGAATCATAGTGCATGAACTGCTATTTGATTCTTTGAGACACTCAATCACTATCTAATCTATCTAGTAATGAAATCTGACTGCACTCATATCCTAAGGCGATGCCCTTTCTTCATCTGCTCTACATAACTTTTGAAGATGAACTCATCACTCATTTCATATTGTCTTGAATATCCCTCAATTCACTTTCACTCTGTGTAAAACTAACTTGATTTCAACAAGCAAAGCATTGGGCTGCCCCAAGATGACAGATGGTCATATTGGTCATTGCATTGGAATGTTACCACAGCGAGCCACTTCACTAATTTCGCCCCTTTGCCCAAGACTGTTGGCCAAAACCCTGTGCATCGTTTTGCATCTTAAACATACCTCTGGCTAGAGGACTTGACAAAAACTGCTATAAAATGCTTTCAGCGCCTACTTGTTAAAATAGAGTAACATTCACATCCTTGTGTTGATGTTGTAGCCTATGTCTTCTGACTATATATGGTTCCGTCCCAAATGGTACCCTGTGCCCTACATAGTGCATTACTTTTAACCATAGGAAATAGGGTGCCATTTTGTACATAATTGATGTTACAGATTAAATGGATACCCTAGGGCGTCCCGAGTGGCGCAGCAGTCTAAGGCACTGCATCGCAGTGCTTGAGGCGTCACTTAGGCCCTGGGTTCGATCCCAGGCTGTCACAGCCGGCTTTGACCAGGAGACCCATGAGGCAGAGCACAATTGGCCCAGCGTCGTCCCGGGTAAGGGACGGTTTGGGCGGCCGGGATTTCCTTTTCCCGTCATGCTCTGGCGACTCCTTGTGGTGGGCCGGGTGCCTGCAAGCTGACTTCGGTCGTCAGTTGGACAGTGTTTCCTCCGACACATTGGTGCGGCTGGCTTCCGGGTTAAGCAAGCAGTGTGTCAAGAAGCAGTGCGGCTTTGCAGGGTCGTGTTTTTGAGGACGCATGGCTCTCAACCTTCGCCTCTCCCGAGTCCGTAGGGGAGTTGCAGCGATGAGATGACTGTAACTACCAATTGGAAATCACGAAATTGGGGCAAGAAAAGGGGGTAAAAATCATAATTTAATGGATACCCTGTTCATTCTAAACTGGTTATGCACCCTCTGTGAGACAACCAATATTTAGACAACAAGCAGATACAACTCAACCATTTGTTTCTTACAGTTTGGGAAGACCATGTTATTTTGTCTTATCCTGGGTAGGTGGTAGTTGGTTTTGATTGAATTGGGGCTTCAAGTCATGGGCTAGTTTATGAAAACAGTTTTTAGCTTTATCTATCCATCCTATTGAATCAATCAGGTTATAGGTGGTTAAGAGCGCTAAGCCAGTAACCGAAAGGACGCTGGTTCGAACCTGAGCGGACTAGGTGAAAAACCTTCAATGTGCCCTTGAGCAAGGCATTTAACCGTAATTGCTCCTGTAAGTTGTGCTGGGAAAGCGCGTCTGCTAAATTTACTAAATGTTAGGTTCACAGACTTATCAACATCCACACAATAAGGGTATTCACTATTTAGACTACACATTTGAATGGAGAGTTAGTCCCAGTTCACAGGGGTTAATTGAGAAGGCAATGTACGTGTGTGTGATACCGGAGCGTCACTCCTTAATGAAGCGCGTCCTCCTTGAAGGCAAGGCAGAGCACATGACTAGCCCGAGGTACTGTCATGTGAGCGTCTCGGAGGACGGCATTAGAGGAAGTGAGGATGCCCTCATTAGCACCACATCTGGGCCCATATTACCTGTATCATACAGCTGTGTCTCCACCATGGCAACCTCAGACAAATGCCTCACAAACCTGGCAACCCAGGACGGTAGCGACAGTGGCTCAGTCTCAATTAGTCTTTCCCTATATCCTCGGCTCCTTTTTAACCGTATTAAAGGAGAAGGTCCAAAGTCACTCCACTCAGACCTTCTTCTCCAATGTGTTTTGAGAAGGAGGCGAGGGAGCAGATGCAAGGAATCGAAGGCAAGATACATTGAGAAAGAGCCAGTGAGAATACATCTGGCTAAGGCCTACTGGCTGTGAGGTGTTTGCTCACCTGTTGCTGCTGTAATCTGGCAGGCTTACTGCTGGCTTGTCCACACCAAAACACCCTGGACCTGAATACACGCTCCCTTATGAAAGGGTTCACCAGGGTGAGCTGAGATGTTCTGTCGGTGTCTCAAGGCCATTTCACCAAGCAGGATCAATATTCTTTCAGCAACTCAACATTTTCTAGTACAGCAGACGACTCTGCTGCATGACATTATCATATATTATCTCTGTCGTAAAGAATTAATGAATGCAGTCATTTTCTGTCAATGGCTTCATAGGATGATTCCATGATGATGCTGTCTTATGATCACAGCCACCTAATCATCCTGTGCTTCTAATTAGCCCCATTCAACCCACTCACCTCCAACACAATTCTCCCCCAGGACATTGGTGTAGAAGACAATGTATTTTCAATCCACTTACATGGCAAAGGGACGATAAATGAAAAGATTACAATCTTGACATGATTATGCATGTATAGTGCACTGCCTTTGCAGAAGTGTAGCCTAGAACAACATTATGTAGTCGTGTTATCCAGGCTTGTGTCAAAAATAATCTTGCATGAAATGAACACAAGTCAAATCACACCCAGTATTACTAAGGCCTGCAACTTTTGGTGTTTTAATACAGAAATGTCATGCAATAGATACAGTACCAGTCAAAAGTTTGGACACACCTGTCATCAAGCAATGGGTTGCTACTTTGAAGAATCTAAAATATATTTGTTTTGGTTACTACATGATTCCATATGTGTTATTTCATAGTTTTGATGTCTTCACTATTATTCTACAATGTAGAAAATAATAAAAATAAAGAAAAACCCTGGAATGAGTAGGTGTGTCCAAATGTATGACTGGTACTGTATGTAGACATTAATACTATGCAAGAATAGACAGGTAGGTGCACTCTAAATCAGATCTACCCACTTTCTCTACTTAGTGGTTCAAGGGTCATAATAATGTCTAACTCAGGCAGTTTGTCGTTGTCTGCAGCGCTGGTGTGGCCGAATGCATTTGTCCACATTCAACATTCGAATGCAAACCATATTCAAAGGTAGCCAGTGTTGTCTTTGTTATTTAAAAACCTAATGTTTCACGCGTGCCAAGTCTAGCTCTAGTTAGTTCTTCTCGAATGCCGTGTCTCTGTCGGAGATACCAGTATATATGGAGACTAATCGTTTACTCCTGTGGACAAAACATGAAGTTGAACCTGGATGAAAACAATTGCATTGCTTTTAGGTGGAGTGCCATCTCCACAAGGGAAGTCCTAATCAAGGTCTTACTCATCAAGATCCCATTTTACACACATGTTTTACGTTACATTCTGGGTGAACTTGGCTTAAAGGTTAAGTATAAGTTACAGGTTAAGTATAGGTTACAGGTTGACCACTGTAACTTGTATTCTGTAGTGGAAATTCTAAATAAATAAAATGACTGCTTATCAACTGATCAAGTGACACTTTTTACCATATGGCTCATGCTGGTTAGGGGTAGGTCTGGCTAGAGAGAGCTGATCCAGAATCAGTGGTTGCCTTAAATGCTGGCAGATGTTTTCCCCTCTGCCTCTTTGTCTCTGACTGTGTTGATGTTTGTGAGGTGTCTGGAGGGTGCAGGCGCACCCCTCCCTGTCCCATTTGGTGGACTTATTTTAGGCCCGATCTTCTCACCCACACAGGCGGAGGAGACAGGAGAATGGTCTCGACGGATGATAAAGGACAGGGGGCCATTCTCGCTCTCTCTTTTAGTTTTTTGCTCGCTCGCTACTCCCGTTCTATCTGACTTAGAGCTGTTCTCTCCTGCTCTCCCCCATCTTATTCTGGTTTTCACTTTTCCCCCATCTCTCTCTGTCACAGACAAATACTCACTTATTAGTCTCTCTACAGTCTGTTCTCACACCCATCTGCCAAACCACCAGATCCACCCATCTGTGAAAAACACACATCATCCTCCTCTCTCTCCGTCTGTCTCGTTCGCTCTCTCCCGCTCCCTCTCTGCCAGTCATTGTGTCCATTCAGTCTAAGAAATGAAGTTAAACCCCAGATGCTTTTGCAAAGTACTGGACTGTTAGGGTGAGACAGTGTTTATTTTTTTTTAGACTAGAGTACAAGGCAAAGAAAAGGGGCAGCTTGGTCAGCCATCACTAGAGGGCCAATTTATGAACATACATTTTTTTGCCATTGAAACACTCATTCAAAAAAACATATGCCTTGTTTGATACCACAAAGGAATGGATACTGACATTTTCTCTTAGTTCTTAAAGCAAACTGACTTGTAGTTTAGTTTATTCAAATTTACATCAAAGGCAACATTTCGGCGCAGACTCCTCAACCATTGCGAGAACTAGTTTTCCCTATATCGTTACCAAGCTCGGTCGAAGTGGTAGTCCGAGGGGCTGATTGGCACATATTCCCTTTTTGGCTTTCAACACTTCCTGCTTTGGACCCAACTCCAACATGGTGGAGGTGCTTGTAAACGTTGAAATTGGGTGGAAAAAAGGGTGAAGGATGGGGGCCTTTTTATTTAAAAAATGTATAGGCCACTTCTGACCCACTGTCACTAGTTGTCTGGCAGTTGCATTGCACTGCACTGTGGGTCTTGTAGTACTCTTGTCTTAAGCCATCTTTCTTTAGCCATGACAACATGTGAACCTTGACCCCTGACCTCTTGTTCTGTCTGTCTTTCAGCGACTTCCTGATTCTGCCGGGCTTCATTGATTTTACCTCAGACGAAGTGGTGAGTAGTCCTCTCTTCTCCTCTATGACTGTCAGACATTCCAGAAAGCTAAGACAATTCAATGTGGGTTTTGAGCGACAGACTACCCGTCAACCTACCTTCAGCCTACTGTTCTGTTCATGGGCTCAATTCCATTTTGTTCTGAGACCCTCTTCCCTAGCCCATTCCTCTTCAGTGTTCGCCTATAGAGTAATGGGTAGGTGCAAGCCATATGATGAAGGCTGCTCTTAGCCTGTTGGAGAACTGGATAGTGAACACCAATCTGGTTCTTCCAGATCTCTGAACACTACAGGTATAATGACTAGGGGTCAAAATGGAAGTCCCTTAGACTCTTGCACCAAGTGGGAGCAGTAAAGCTTCCTACTCATTCCTTACTATTTCAGCAGACACTCCTTGCCACATCCGAAACCAAAGCCTTTTTACAGTACACTGTGTCCACACAGATGCACGAACAACCCTCTGCATTCAAAGCCAAAACCTCATTCTGTAATTGCAGCTTTTCCTAAAATAATTTTTTGCTCTCAGCTTCCTTCGTCATCCCTAACCTCCTAGCCACCCTATTTTTACCAAGATGGCCTCCCACGCCTGGTCTCTCTCTGTCTGTGTTTATGGTTGTGCCTGGTTGGTTGGTTGCTCACTCTTCTCTCTCAGGGGATGACGTGAGCGTTAATCTCAGGCTTTATGTGAAATCCCCCTGCCCTTCTCGCTTGTCCATCAGGGTTTTTTCATCTAATTGACATCTCTAATCACCAGTTTTTTCAAATAAAATCCAGACTAGAACACAGCTCTTGTTGCTGTGGAAGGCGCCTGTCTGCGTTGTTGCTGTGGCGTTGTGGGTTGTCTCCATAGGGTTGTAGTCTGGCCTATTTTCTTGACGGTTAGGAAGCGGATTCACACTGATAACTTGGACGAGCCTGTGTTTGCCTCAGTCTCAACTGAATACAGTCAAAGTTCATGCAATAATGTTTGTTCAGACTGTAGTCTAAAATAGATTTCTCCCCCTCCCTTCCGCACAGGGATGTTTTATAAGTGTGAGGTGGGCCTCCGTTTGGTGTTGCAATGGGGAAATTATTCAAATCAAATCAAATTTTGGGAAATTGGGGAAATTATTGTTGGTCACACCATGTGCAGAGGTGGTCTCTCAATTTTAAAGGTTAGCCCTTTGTAGAATGTAGCAGGGTAGTGCAGTTGAGCTGCCAAAGTGTCCAGTCATTTCAGAAACACAACAGTCAGTCTCGGTACGATATGGCAGTTTACATTTGCCACAGATAAGGGAGGAAAGCTCTTGACGTTAGTCATTGAAAGCATGCTTGGACCAAAAGCTGTAATTTTCCAAACCACATAGGACAAACGGGCTTGTTGGTGCATGTCTGCACCCTAGTGGACAACTGCGAAAGCAACCTTTACCATTACAAGCAATGCTGGCCAAGGTTCTCTTTTCTTCATGAAGTAAATTACCTACACTCTGTATTAGAAATGAAACGATATTGAGTATATTTCCTCAGTGTGGACATTTACACTCACTGCAACACTCTAATATTATCTAGTGTGCTGGTTGCATTTTGAATGACTTATTTCCTGAACATTTAGTGGGTTATTGAGCCAAGATGTCCTCCTTCCTCTCTCTACCAGGACCTGACCTCTGCCCTGACCAGGAAGATCACCCTGAAGACGCCTCTCATCTCCTCCCCCATGGACACAGTCACAGAGTCATCGATGGCCATCGCCATGGCGGTAAGACCTTGCCGCCTGACACGCGAGCCAGTAAAAAAATTAATGTATATAATAAATAAAAAGTGTCCACTAAGCTAGAAATTATTGTGCGCTTTCCACATCAGTCACATCCAAAGTGTGTTTTGTTGCTGGGGGAAAAAAGTACCATAAACAGTATTGCGGCTCCCAAAAGTGATTTCTACTTGTCGGGGTGTTTTTTAATGCCTTTAGCTCATGGGAGGCATCGGCCTCATCCACCACAACTGCACTCCTGAATTCCAAGCCAACGAGGTCCGCAAGGTTAAGGTAAGACCCCATAAACACCTATGAAAACATTCTGCCTACTTAATATTTACCTTTTATGGTCTGTCAAGTCATATACCTTTGTAGTTAACCGCATATAGTCATGTATTTACTTGCATAATTTTAAGTTGATTGGTATTAATTAATTTATCAGCTATTGGGTTGCAGTGCACCTATGCCCGTGATAGTGTATTAACCAGTATATTTGCTGTTTGTCCAGAGGTTTGAGCAGGGCTTTATCACAGACCCTCTTGTGATGAGCCCGCGTCACACAGTGGGGGACGTGTTCGAGGCCAAGACACGCCACGGCTTCTCTGGCATCCCCGTCACCGAGACTGGCAAGATGGGCAGCAAGCTGGTGGGCATCGTCACCTCCAGAGACATCGACTTCCTCTCCGAGAAAGACCACAGCCGACCGCTGGAGGAGGCCATGACTAAGAGGGAGGAGCTAGTGGTGGCCCCAGCCGGTGTCACCCTGAAAGAGGCTAACGACATTCTACAGCGAAGCAAGAAAGGTGAGCCAGTCGGTACAGTCTGTCTAGGAGGCTATTGTCGCCTGTTTTCTGGTACAGTGTTCTATTGTATAATCCTCTACTTATTATTGATTTGATGTTCTTTGGTTTGCTGTACAATGTCATTTATGAAACCACCTGTTTTAGGTTATGTGGCAGAATTACTTGGTCACCTGCTTTGGTTTGCTGTACAATGTCATTTATGAAACCACCTGTTTGAGGTTATGTGGCAGAATGACTTGGTCACCTGCTTTGGTTTGCTTTACAAGGTCATTTATGAAACCACCTGTTTGAGGTTATGTGGCAGAATTACTTGGTCACCTGCTTTGGTTTGCTGTACAAGGTCATTTATGAAACCACCTGTTTGAGGTTATGGGGCAGAATTACTTGGTCACCAAAATCTCTTTCTCCACCCCTCTCCTCCCACCAGGCAAGCTGCCCATTGTGAACGACAGTGATGAGCTGGTGGCCATCATCGCCAGAACAGACCTGAAGAAGAACAGGGATTACCCCCTGGCCTCTAAAGACTCTCGCAAACAGCTGCTGTGCGGAGCCGCCATTGGCACCAGGGACGACGACAAGTACAGACTGGACCTGCTGATGCAGGCTGGGGTCGACGTGGTCGTACTGGTGGGTTCGGGGATTGAGGTTGGGGTACGGTTGGGGTTATGGTTAGGATTCAGATGGGGTTTAGGTTGGGATCCGGTTGTGATTGGGGTAGGTGGGACGGTTGGGTTAGGGGTTGACCTGTTCATGCAGTTTAGGTGGACATGGTGGTTATGGTCGAGTTACAGTTGGGTTACAGTTCTAAATAGCGGTAGACCACATGGTACTGCAGTGCAGACATGAATTGTTTTCTCTCTCTGTTTCTGCAGGATTCCTCACAGGGCAACTCTGTGTATCAGGTCAACATGATCAACTACATCAAACAGAAGTACAGCGAGCTGCAGGTGGTGGGAGGGAACGGTGAGAGAGTGTGGAGCGCTGGGAAAGGATTTATCACTAAATGGCAATTCCACCCATCCAGTTGTTGTAGATCTTTGAGGGGCTATCAAGATCAGTCTTGGGAAATGTTGTTTATTCAATTGAACGTCTGTGGAAAAATACAGTAGACACTTACACGCTACACCTTTATTTTCCTGCATCCTGATGATGTGGTCCTCTGTAGCTCAATTGGTAGAGCATGGCGCTTGTAACGCCAAGGTAGTGGGTTCGATCCCCGGGACCAGCCATACGTAAAAATGCGACTGTTAGTCGCTTTGGATAAAAGCGTCTGCTAAATGGCATATTATATTATAAGTTGTGTGTTGTCTCTTGTAGTGGTGACGGCGGCTCAGGCCAAGAACCTGATCGATGCAGGAGTGGATGCTCTGAGAGTGGGCATGGGCTGTGGCTCCATCTGCATCACCCAGGAAGGTAGTGACCCCACCTCCACACCCTGATACTATCAATGTTACAGGATCAATTCCAATCTGAATGCAAGAGAGGATTGTTGGTGGATTTGATTTGAATCCACTTGCAGAATTGACTGAGTTAAAATGGAATTGACCCAACCCTGAATGCTACACCTTGAGTGCAATGTGCTATTGGAATTGTAGTATTGCGACTAAATCTTATGATATGAGTGTAGTGATATTAAATAGAAATGTGAAAATATGCATAGGATTCCATCTACCCATAGTAGCTGGCTTTGGATCAGTTCTAATTTAAGGTCAACCACTGAAGCTACACAGCAAAACTGGAGAAAGATCAGAGCAGCGAGTAACTAACCAAGATGCTACACTGGTTGCTAGTCTGTGTTGTCGTGGTGATTTATGAAGGCTCTGCTCTCGGTTACCATGGCGATGACTTTCTCCACAGCATTATGTTCAGCAAACGTTTTCAAACGCAATACAAACATACTTATTGGAAGAACTTAGACATATTCAATTATTACATTTTTTAAGTGAACACATCGATTCTGATAATACTACTTCTGTAAAAAATCCATCCATCGTGCACAACCGAACATCGCCTGACTACACCTGTCATAGGATATGATATGATGCATTTCCTGTCTCCGTCTCCTGTAGTGATGGCGTGCGGGCGGCCTCAGGGCACTTCGGTATATAAGGTGGCAGAGTATGCTAGACGTTTCGGTGTGCCAGTCATCGCCGACGGGGGCATTCAGACCGTGGGCCACGTGGTCAAGGCTCTCTCACTCGGGGCATCGACAGGTACCTTTCATTCACTTATTAATTAATTCACTCTTTCATAGTCATTCATTCATTCTCTTTCATTTTCATGCATACATTGTCATTCATGCTTCCATTGTCATTTATTCACTCACTCACTCATTCATTCATTAACTTACTCCTTCATTCACCCCTTTATAACATGCAGTAGATCCATGTGGTTCATTACATAGGCTAGCATAGGTCTATATCAGGGCTGTTCATCTCCGGTCCTGGAGGGTCCAAACACTTCTGGTTTTCATCCTCTCCTTCTAATCAGGGACTAATCCAGACCTGGGACACCAGGTGAGTGCAATTAACTACCAGGTAGAAACAGAAACCAGAAGTGTTTCAGCCCTCCAGGACCAGAATTGAACAGCCCTGGTCTATAGTCTTACAGTATCTTGATAATGTCTTTACATTAGTTTTCTGTTCAGCACTGTTGAACTCATGTATATTCCTCTAATTCATTCATAGCTGATTGCTGGTAATCAAAGCTAATGTGAAGATATCGATGTAACAAAACACTAGCTGTACCGAGAATTAGTTGGAGAAATGCTTACCAACCAATGACCTTGAGTTATGACCTGTTCCGCCCCTCCCCAGTGATGATGGGCTCATTGCTAGCGGCGACCACGGAGACTCCGGGGGAGTACTTCTTCTCGGACGGCGTGCGACTGAAGAAGTACCGTGGCATGGGCTCTCTGGACGCCATGGAGAAGAGCACCAGCAGCCAGAAACGCTACTTCAGGTAGGGAGGACATCCCACACTAGTGCTGCATCCCAAATGGCACCCTATTCCCTGGCCTAATATAGTGCACTACTTCTGACCAGGGGCCATAGGGAATAGGGTGCCATTTGGGGTGTTGATTAACTCTTGATCAAACACGACTAGAATTCATAGGAGGGTTGAAATGAAGACCAGGTAATCTGAATGAAGACAGTTGCTGTTAATCGCTGAATAATCAAATTAATATTTTGTTGATGTTCGAGTCTGATTATATACATGTATTCATTGGTTTGTCCTTAATTCAGACGGTTCACATTGTGATACAATATGTCATATGTAAGGGATTTTCCCAAAACAAATGATGCCAATATTCCTGGGTTTAAGCTGTCTGACTGCTCTCAGTGCTCTGGTTGGAGAATTTTCCTGTCCCATCAGCAGTGTCTAAACTGTCTCTGTGTTCCGTCTGGCTGATTCCACAGCAGTGTCTAACCAGTCTCCTCTGTGTTCTGACTGGCTGATTCCACAGCAGTGTCTAACCAGTCTCCTCTGTGTTCCGTCTGGCTGATTCCACAGCAGTGTCTAACCAGTCTCCTCTGTGTTCCGTCTGGCTGATTCCACAGCAGTGTCTAACCAGTCTCCTCTGTGTTCCGTCTGGCTGATTCCACAGCAGTGTCTAACCAGTCTCCTCTGTGTTCTGACTGGCTGATTCCACAGCAGTGTCTAACCAGTCTCCTCTGTGTTCTGACTGGCTGATTCCACAGCAGTGTCTAACCAGTCTCCTCTGTGTTCCGTCTGGCTGATTCCACAGCAGTGTCTAACCAGTCTCCTCTGTGTTCCGTCTGGCTGATTCCATCAGCAGTGTCTAACCCGTCTGTGTTCTGACTGGCTGATTCCACAGTGAAGGGGACAAGGTGAAGGTGGCTCAGGGTGTGTCCGGCTCCATCCAGGACAAGGGCTCCATCCATAAGTTTATCCCCTACCTGATCGCTGGCATCCAACATGGCTGCCAGGACATTGGTGCCAAGAGTCTCACTGTTCTACGGTGAGTTGTGTGTGTGTGTGTGTGTGTGTGTGTGTGAGCGAGAGAAAGGTGAGGGCAAGAGGGGACCAGTGTGTGTGTGAGTGAGCTCTGATAGTAATGTGTGTTTCCACAGCTCCATGATGTACTCTGGAGAGCTGAAGTTTGAGAAGAGGACCACGTCCGCTCAGGTGGAAGGAGGAGTCCATGGGCTTCACTCGTAAGTTGGACTCACTCTCTCTCACACACACACACACACAGTGTGTGTAACAGTAGTAGATAGTCATGACTTTTCTGCAACTGATAGTGTTGAAACTCTTTCTTAGACATCAGTGTCTTTCTTTCTTTGTGTCTTTCACCATAGATATTATTTTGTTCCATGTAAGTACATGTACATAGCACTGTGAAGTGAAGGGGTGTGGCCTAGGGGAGGGCCCCACATCGCCATTTGCATGTAGCACAATTGTCCACTTGTTTCTAAATGAATGGCAAAGTTTGATCTTTTTGATTAAATTATCCAGGTGGGAAATGTAAAGCTTACCATTTAGATAAGTGCTTCCCATCTTGATGTTTGAATCTGGCAACTTGCCTTTAAGGACGTCTAATATGGCGATGTGACGTTCCCTTTCAGATTATTACCTTGTTAGTGGGAGGAGGGGTGCTCGCCATTACGCAGTTCATCTTTGAATGGGGATGGACTATGGGAAGCTTTGTTAGTCTCCTCTCTCTGTCCACTAGACTCTTTCCCTCCTCTCCTTCCCCAGTTATTCATAGGGCAGATAAGCCTGTAATAAATATACTGGCAGATGATAGGGGATTGAATGGGATTTGTCAATCTTTGTTTTATAATTGAATCAGTATGACATTGCTTAGACAGATTGATAGCTGACGTAGTATGAAAGGGTCATTGATAAGTTCTATCCAGTTGTTTTAGAGCAGGTAATAGGAATTGTTGATTTGTCATTGATCACTGATAGATGGTATCATTATTGTGTTTTTACGATGCCCTTTCTCTGCAGTTACGAGAAACGACTTTACTGATGGAGGGGCCAGAAAGAAGCGGACTAGGGCCGCCCCCGACGTCCCCACCCCCGTTGTGACCAAACATAACCGCCACATCTGACACCCACCTCATCACTCTCCCTGCCGAAACCCCACACACCCCACGGGAGAGGTCTGGGGGTGAACACCTGCAAAACAAACACAATCACCTGGGAAACATGGGATTTTGCACTTACGAAGCGGAACATCAGGGTTTTCACCATAACCCCCTCCACCCAGAATACCGGGCCCCTTGGTGTGTGTGTGTGTGTTTGTGAGCTTGTTGAAGGAAGTATATGAATGTCTGTGTGTGTAAGAGAGTGTGTGTGCATGGGTGGGGACAAACTCAGTGAAGAAGGCGATGTTGTGCTACCCTCTCCTCTTCCTGGTGAAACTGAGATAGCCATGCTGACACCCCTTTCTATTCTCTGGGATCTGCTCTTACCTGCAGCCTCAAACATCCAAATCAAACTATATGTGGAAATAACACTTGTCTTGCTACTATGTGTGCAAGTGTATTGTGGCAATCCTCCTTTATCTATGTAGTTAGTTCTGTTTAAGCATAAAGATGTTAACTGCTTTGAGAAAAGTATTTTGTTCTGTTAAATTTTTGACTGTGATTCAACCGACAGACTCATTGGCTGGGACTATAGACTAGGTGACGTTCCCTCGCTGTAGTGGCCATATCATACCCCCTTAGTCGACGTGAACCAATAAACTAGAGCCCCTCACAATGCTTCTAGTGTGTTGAGAGCACGGTTGGGACCAAAAGCTGGACATCGGCCATAGATCAAGGAACGTTTTTAAAACCACAGTGTCGGTCAACGATAGGTAATACAATAATATTTTAGACTGGAATGAAACGAGTTTAGAGAGAATTGTTTGATTAAAAGCTGTAGAGCAGGGTTCCCCAACTGGCGGCCCAGTGGTTTTATTTGGCCCCCTAATTTAAAATGAATAAATAATAGTAATAATTTTTCATTGTTGGACAAAAGAGTGTAAAAACACCAGGAAATCAGAACCAAGTTATTTTAATTTTGGAAATCTGTTCCATGTAAGCAAGGTTTGAAATTATTATGTTGTAGTCAGATATTATATCGGTTTGGGCTTCTTGCGATCAATTTATAGTCTACAAATTATTTGTAATTATGTTACGGTCCCCCGACCATCCACTGAAGAAAAAAATCGGCCTGTGGCTGAAGCTAGTTGATGTTCCCTGCTGTAGAGACTCCTGGTTGCTCCAACGAGCATGAAGGGTTTTGATATGCATGCTTTTTTTGTTTTTTAAAGCCTCAACACGGCTGTATTTATACTCTTCTGTTTTCTAATTACGTACATACTGCCAAGTGTATCCACATGCTGTCTGTGACACTCTTTGATGTTATTAATATTAAAAGCCAAAATTAAAACTAGGAGTTGCAAGCAATGTAGTCCCTCGCTCCGCCCCTGTCCTGTCTCAGATTGTGGCACCGATTGTTAGCAGCTTTGACCTGTTCCGATTACCAGAGATATGCCTTGAAACGGGGGAGATGAAGACCGCACACGACGGATAGTCTTACAACACAGTTTTTACAGGAATTTATGTGCATGACGCTATACGTCCTTCTCTCACCCCCTTTCTCACTTTTTTGAGATACTGTATCTATATCATTCAGCTTATGTAGGAATAGGTTTTTCTAACGTTTTTCGTAAACGGATGTCCTTTTTGCCAGATGTTTTTTTTTTAGGATGTCTCTAAGCTGTAGGAGTGACTTGCTTTCCATATTGTGCTAAATTACTTTGCCCTTCCGTGACCTCACTTGACTAACGGCACTCTTTCAGTTGACATGAATATTAAGTAAATATGTACATGAAGATGTATGGAGAATTATATACCAGTATCCTGAAATGGTTGTTGCTTGTTTGCCGTCTCCCACCTTAGTTATGAAAATCCTCACTCACTATGAAATAGGCCTTGTTTACAATGGGATCACAACAGAAACCGGTTGCTTATGCTGTAAAAAAAATAAAAGTCTAATAAAATATGTTGACTAATGGGTTGTTATTAAGGCTGGCGAATTGCCAGGGACCTCAGGATTCGATATAACAGGTGTAGTAGACCTTAACGTGAAATGCTTAATTACAATCCCTTAACCACCCATGCATGCAGTTCAAATAAAATGTGATTTGATTTGATCACGATACTTGGGCGCTGATACGATATGTATTACGATTCTATATGAATTACGATTCAATATTGTGATTTTATTGCGATTCGATGTTCCAAAAATATTGCTCACCATATATCTGCTGCAGAGGTATGAGTCATGAGAAAAACGAGTTTTGATCAGTCATGGAAATAAGTGTTTAATACAAATTGTCTACCGATTTTAAAAAGATGGAGATCAAGCTATGAAGGAAAAATACTGGTGTTTTGGTGCAGGTACAGCCAACTAACGCAAAAATAATATTGCGTTATTGTCAAAATGATACGATATACAGTGCTATGAAAAAGTATTTGCCCCCTTTCTAATTTTCTCTACCACCATGCTTGACCTTTGGTATGATGTTCTTACTGTGGAATGCAGTGTTTGGTTTACGCCAGGCATAATGGGACCCATCTCGTCCAAAAAGTTGACTCAAGTTTGCCAAAAAGCACCTGGATGATCATCAATAATCTTGGAAGAACGTTCTATGGACAGATGATTCAAAAGTATAACTTTTTGGACGACATGGTTCCAGTAATGCCTGGCGAAAACCAAACTCTGCACTCCACAGTAAGAATACCAAAGGTCAAGCATGGTGGTGATGGTTTGGGGATGCTTTGCTGCCTCAGGACCTGGACGACTTGCCTTAATAGAAGGAACCATGAATTCTGCTCTGTATCAGATAATTCTACAGGAGAATGTCAGACCATCCGTCTGTGAGCTGAAGCTGAAGCGCAGCTGGGTCATGCAGCAAGACAATGATCCAAAACACACAATCAAGTCTACATGAAAATTGCTAAAAAGCAACAAATTTGAAGTTTTGGAATGGCCTAGTCAAAGTCCAGACCTAATCCCAATTGAGATGTTGTGGCAGGACTTGAAACGAGCAGTTCATGCTTGAAAACCCACACGTCACTGAGTTAAAGCAGTTCTGCATGGAAGAGTGGGCCAAAATTCCTCCACAGCGACGTGAGAGACTGATCAACAACTACAGGAAGCATTTGGTTGGAGTCATTGCAGCTAAAGGTGGCACAACCAGTTAATGAGTGTAAGGGGGCAATTACTTTTTCACACAGGGGAATTGGGTGTTGCATAACTTTGTTCATGAAATAAATATGTAATTGTTTTGTTAAGTGTTCATTTATGTTCCCTTTATCTAATATTAGGTTTTGGTTGAAGATCTGATAACATTCTGTATCACAAATATGCAAAAGTAGAGACAATTAGAAAGGGGGCAAATACTTTTTCATAGCACTGTATCGTCAAAAATAATATCCCCATATGTAACTATAGAAAATACGTTATACATGACCTGAGACTTGGTGAAAACAAAACATGCACACTAAAATGTTGACATTTCTCTTTATTTAATCATGTTTTGAGGAAAGAATTAATGACAGTTTTAACATAAATAAATTAGTAAGCGGTTCATATCAAATGTACTGTGTGTCAGTCGGAAGTTAAAGCACAATTGTATCGGTGGGATCCTACCAGTAGAGGTCACTGCTGCTCTGCTACAATGTTGCTGTTTGTTAAAATCAAGCTTTCCTTTATTGGATGGATCTTAAAGCACACCTCTAACATCTTTAATGCTTGATGTAGAGGCTCACAAACAGAATTACATTTTACTGCATTGAAACAACTTGGCATTTAATAACAATCTTACTCTATGAAAATGTTAAGTACGTTTGTTTTATAAGTCCCATGTAGCTCAGTTGGTAGAGCATGGCCCTTGCAAGGCTGTGGGTTCGATTCCCACGGGGAAACAGTATGGAGAAAAAAAAGTATGAAAATGTATGCACTCACTACAGTAAGTCTCTGGGTAAGAGCATCTGCTAAAATGACAATGTTAAAATAAGATTTCAGTAGTCTTGTTTATTAAGTGCTTATTTCAATCACAGTATTATTTATTTGAATGCAAAATGTTTGTACAAATGTAGTGTGCTTTCCTGTTTCCTTCTTGAAATGCACAGGAAAACCCACAACTTTTATTAACGTATCAAACTTCATCATCCAATAGCATATGTGAAAAAAAAGTCAAAATTTCTCCTTGGCTTGTGGCATTCTGTGGCAATTAAAAGACCCACGTCAACATTCTCAAACAAACGCTCTCAGTTCATTTACTCAAACATTTGGCACTATTTTACCTTTCTTGACAATGAAGGCTAGCCTAATTAATCAAACCGCTTGTTGCTCCTTACAGAACGCGACGCCATCTTGAAATCCTCTTCACAATATTTCAGTCCAGTCCTCAGTCTTTAGCCCTTGACTGTTGAGAGCTCTGCCTACAGGTCAATTGTCTCACTGCAGATGCTCATCGCATCAATCTGTCTGCAGACATTGATGAACTCCTCTTGTACGGACCGGTCCGCTTCAGACTCTAGGTCAAGACTCTCCTGTGAGGCTGACCCTAGTGTGCAATAGTGTATCTGTAGGTGTGAGCCCTGGTGGCTGGAGGCTGTGATGCAGCCTGAGCTGCTGCCTAGGGATGGGGGTTGGGCGTGCCCATCTGGGCTGGAGTAGAGGACCAGAGAGGACCCCCTTAGGGAGGGTCTGTACAGGGAGCAGGAGGAGGAACTTTCCCTCCAGCGATCTGGGGAAGAGCAGCTGGAGTTGGAGGACAGGGAGGGAGATGGTGGAGCACCCAGGATGGTGTCGCCCACCAGGGGGTGGTTTGGTAGAGGGGTTGGGGGCGGGGCAACCATCTCCACACAGGAGGTCGTCCGGTACAGGCCTGGGTCGGCTGAGAGGGTCCCTCGAAGCACCTGGCCACCATTGGGCAGGGTGGACTTGGAGTAGGGGATGTTAAGTGACAGGTCACTGCAGCAAAAAGCTATGGATGGGCTGAAGAGGCTTATGGGAAAGAGGTCCTCGCTGAAGAGCGCCTCGTCAA